CAACTAGGACAAAATGCGCATCCTGGATTCCACTGCTAGTCACCATCCACCAATTAACTTATCCAGACTAGTTCATCAGGAGACATAAAGTAGTCAAAACACCAAGACCCACTCTACAACTCGTCCCTAAGAAAGATGTGTACACCAAGCTACCCTATATGGGGCATCATAGCAGCTTGATAACTAGACAAAGACTGAACGCTGCAGTTGAAAAGACTTTTTATGCACCTAATATCATAATAATAGAGAGTGTAAAGCCAATGTATCTATCTAAGCCCTTCGAACATGCGAAAAGTGATGTCACATCCCACTGTATTTACCAGTTTGAATGTACGTGTGGACACATACATAGGGAGGACTCATCGATCTTTGCAAGTAAGGGCTTCAGAGCATATTTCTAAATGGCTCCAGAAATAAATAGAATCTTCAGAGCTCATCAATGGTGAGAACAGGTGACCTGGCTCCTCTATTGCGAAAAATATTATGGAGACAGGACATACAACTGACGTTTACACATCTTTTAAACCTATCTATAAAACGTGTTTGGGGCGTATCCTAAAGTTTGTGGAAGCCCTAGCAATTAGAAAGTTTAAACCACCTTTACGCGTTTTGATACCATAGCAGATGTACTATCACCTCTGTTATTTGGTTTGGTGGTCTTCATTGTTATTTTGACCTTCAATATGTCCTTTTAACTTGACCTAAGTCTATTTTCTCACCTCTTAACTCTTTATTAATTCCATATATATTCCTATGACAAGTTCGTGTGTGATCAGATTTTTCGAAATGTGTTGCGCAAATACATTACACGATTCAGACAAATTACGTTTTCTTATTGCTTTACCTAAAGAATACTGTGTGAAAAAAAAGGATTGTGAGATGTTTTCTAGTATTTGGTTTATTCATCAGTAGTCATTCGACCACCGAAACTGTAATGGGAAGAAATATTAGGTCAAAGGTTTTCATGTTCATCAGGTAACGAAAAAAGCTTACAACTCTGTACCTACTCTAAGAATCACAGTTATTACCTTTCAGACATTTCAGACATATCTTATGGTTTGAAGTACAAAACTATTCCCATGAAAATCAAGAAAATGGAAGTCCAGTCACAGTATGAAAACCTGTATGATCAAACCTCTGATTTAACTCCTTCTAGTAAAGATAATCTAGACTGGTTTAAAGTCAAGCTGGTGGATATTTCTCATCAATTTCTAAATGCTAGAATACACCAGAAAAATGGTTTATCAAAAGAACACCACGCCACACTTAAGGAATTAATCCAAAAAGATAATCTTGTGATCCTTAAACCTGATAAGGGAGAAGGCGTTGTCATTATGAACAAATCGGATTATGAAAATAAAATGAAGGATATCCTCAAGGATCAGTCCAAATTTCTGGTGGACAATGCTACTGATAATGTGCTGCTTGTGGAAAAGCAGATCAATCGTCAGCTTCTAGTTAGTTAAGTGTAAGAGTCTATCATCTGTAGGAGTTAGGTTATTTAAGGTAAAGTATTAGTCGAATTCACTTCCAAGTCTATACTAAAAATGACAACTTCTCAGCATTACACTGACAGAAGCCAGTCATCAAATTTGTGATGGTGATGTTAAGTAGCTTAGCTGATCTATGAGCGAATTGTTCGAATACCTCTAAGACTCATAAGACTATAAGACTCCGCTTTATCTTCATTTGTCATCCATCGTCTACATCGACAGTAGTCTATCAATCTCATATAAATACCTCTACAAACAACCAGTCTCCAGGTGTTAAGAAACCTATGTAACTTTTACGACGAATGCACATTTGAATATAGAAAGTTGGCTTGCTCATTTCAATATAGAAATCTGTTCGCATTCATATCTTCTTCATCACCACGTAATGCAACGAGTCATCATGCCATGTGACCTGATTCCCTGAGACTTGTTAAATGGAGACGAAACAGGCAGTTCAGTGAGGAGCGTCTTCTTTTCGGCGGTTTTATTATACCCTTTACATGTACAGCTGCATTTAAATGCACCCGATTCTCTACACAACAGACGACAGTAACGAGAAATGAGATGTCACGAACATGTGTGCTAGTACCAATGATTACACAATAGGAAGGAGTTGAAGAGTGATGACTGTAATTATTATTCCCATGGTTTCAAAATAGAATATTAGGCTTCGATTGTACATCTCCCTGTCACTCTTTCCCCTGATGTTCTTTCTAGTTGGCTCCAGAATCGACCATTACTTTTCATTTCCCCACCAAACGATTTTCTTCACATCACCCTCGTATCGGCATTCGGCCTCTCCTCTCTCATCCGGGTTCCACTTAAGTGATGGCCTGGTGTGCACTAACAGCCACTTGCCTCCACAGTGTCTACCCCCTACAACTCAATTTCCTTCAGTATATTGGCTTAAAAACACGTTCTTCGATGGTTCGTTTGCAGAGTTCTTTGTGTTTAATTCCTTTTGAATGCCTTTGTCTTCATCAGAATCGAGTGAAGACCGCTATTGGATAAAAGTCCAAGGTCTGTTTGAAATCCTCTTCGTGGTATGTCACGTGTCTTACTCCTACACGAGAACTGCCTTGACATCACTGTTGAACATTCTAATTCGGATCTTCATGTTGAGTTCAGTAGATTTCCGAACTGATTTCTGGTTAACGAAGGTCTCTCTCACCCTTCACTTTCTGGTTTCACGGCCCCATTCGTGTCGTGTGAGGTTGAGACTAAATAAGTGGAGGAAGTGACTGATTTCACTGAATCATCATAGCTTTTGTGCATTCATGTCGTGTTTCTATGCAAATTGTTAGGCATTATTTTCCTCACTTGTTACATTTTATTTTGATGTATGTGATGTGGGTTACTGATAACTTGGAATGTACCACAGTTATGCCTTATCCTGTGTTTGTGATGTCTGTCCACCAGGACCTCTGTTTAGATCATTCAACATTTGCCTATTATTTACCCACCTTAGCTGCTTTTATTTAACTTTTCAAACAACATTGATAATATTTGAACAAAGAATAAATGAACATACATTTGCGGGATTGTACAAATTCGTTTTATTTCACGGATTCTTGTCAACTGCATACAACCTAAACAATATCAAAATATGAGTTACAAAAGGTGTGACTAAACATACTTTCATCACAGTGATGTCCAACTTATCGTTATCAAGCTGAAATCAAGAAAAAAAATTTAGATAGCATATAATTTTAAAAATTATCTAAGTAGAATTATCTAAGTATTCATTGTTAAAATGGCTAAATATTTATAGTTTAATCAAACAGGAAAAGAGCGGCTAGCAGAGTTCATATATAGTATAGAAGCAAGGATCGACTAGAGAGAGAACAGATTTATGCATAATGTGGTGGAAAGTGCAAGAGGGTGGCAATGAAAAGTAAAAGTAGGATTATGACACAGACAAGCAGGTAAGTAAGTTTGGAAACTTAATAGATGCTCAGTAGTGATTGGTTCTATACAGGGAGTTACCTGCAGTTCTAGTGAGAAGTCGTGACTAGCGAGGTCCACAAAGTCAGGTAAGAGGACAGTTACTCACCGATGACATCGGCTGGCGGCTGCACTATACATCAAGGACTGACAGAAGACTTAATTCATGGGCGAGCTTGCCTTGTAAGGAGAAGGTCCTGAGCCCGGATCCTGGTGGGTGCGTACTGATGAAGAATCTCAAACTAGGAGGGAACACCTGTCCAGTACCCACAGATTTTCAAATGGTTCTCTAACTGATGTCAACTGGTTATCAATCCTTCAACTCAGAAAGTGAAAAACGAAACTAGGCAAAGCGTTTCACAACAGAATCAAGCATAAATAACGCACGAACACAAAACAATTACAGTTACTAAGGTAGTGGGACATTAAACATACTATCCTTCCGCATACGGGTGTTGAGTTTAAATATTTTGATAGTAACAATAATTTCTGCTAAATGAAGTAACCATAGCTTCTCTCTCTCTCTCTCTCTCTCTTATATATATATATATATATATATATATATATTGTTTTGAAACCTTGGTTACTTTTATTACATCATTTCGGGATTATGTTGTTGATACTTTCTATCGATAACATCGACGTCAGTGTGATAAAAGTATGTTCAGTCAAACTTCTGTAACTTATATTTTGATATTGTTTGGGCTGTTTACAGTTGACAATACTCTGTAAAATAAAATGAGGTCGTATCATTCTGCAATTGTGTGTTCGTTCTTTCTTGTTTTCAAATCAATCAAGCCAATCGGTTGAATGCAATGATAACAATAATATTGGCGTATATTTCAGTCCCTTAACTGTGTTAAATTTATGATTATTATTATTATAAAGATTTTGGTTTTGGTAGGAATTCGGATTAATTTCAATGTTTTTGCATAAAACTATGTACTACTACTGATTAATTGAGATGAGTAGTTGTATACCCACTGATATCAACCAGTAATCATTCCTAGCTGGTTAGATCAAAGTGGTCTAAACCACCGCAAGACGGCTGTTTCGCTCGTGTGAGACTGATCCGATCACTGGTGTAATAACCGATGTGACTCGGCTGAGAGAGTTGAATCAGTTCAAATCACACCGGATTTCTAACTAGCTACTTGGACGATCATTTATGCATTTATGTTTGCTTTTTTGATTGTCATTCATGGTATCAGGTAGATCATGCACGCATTGTGATCTGAATAGTTTTACTTATCGAAGAAAACTGTGTTTTGAAATTGTCTAAACTGCAAATTGAGAATTTGGTTTGATTTCAGTGTAGACTTTGTCACAAATCAACACCATGGGTATACACTGCTCGAGAGTTTCGAAGTAGGATGAAGCTTCCCTCCGGTGTAATTTCTTTCTTAAGTGATCCATTCGCTTATGTTGGTTAGTGAAAGTATCTTGTTGCTTTTATTTTATTTTCCTCTATTCTTTGACATTATTTGTTTGCATCCAACAACAATAATAATAACGGTTATTTTTTTATAGTCAGCTGTATCACACAATCCATACTATAATCCTATGGAGTTTACCAGTTCTAGTATTTCTCAGTTGAATAGTTCCTTAACACCAGGGGCAGGATTCCCTAGACCTGTACAACCAAGTATGCCTCCTCTGCCACCATCTCTGCAAACAGCAGGATCTGCCCTTAGTCAACCAAATGTGCCTTATCCTTCATCAATGAATAATTCTATCCCGTCAATGAATACAAGTGTACCTCCACGACAAGGACAACCGCAACCACAACTTCCACCAATGCCACCATCACAACCATCATTTGAACAGTTACCACCTGCAAAGACAACTCCTGTTCTGTCACCACCCCTTTCAGTATATCCACAAATGCCAGGGGGAGGAGTATACCAACAGTACCAACCACAGCAGCATCAACTACAACAACAACAACCAGACCCATATCCTCAACAATTTCAGAATACTCAGTTTTCACCTTCACCATCATCTTTAGCTCCGCGACAAGCTTCATCGACATCACCAACTATCTGGCCAGCAGCACCTCCACTGTGTAGTATACCTAAGACGAGTATAGATTCAACTCCTTATACTGATAGCAACAATATTTTAACATCAAATTCTTCTCCTGATGGTTCTGTCAATGTTAATACTGTTTCACAGACTTCAAATGTCAATTCAGATACTACTACTACTACTCCTGCTAATAGCAGTGGTAATGACGTTTGCTTATTACCGGAAGAATATAATTCAATACGTAAAGTACTAATTGATTTAATATATAATTGTCGTCAAACTGGAGGCAAAGTAAGCATGTTTTGATTTATTTGGTTTTTCTTTGTTGTGTGAAATGAAGGAAAAGAATCCGAGTAATTTCTCAATACACCTGGACATATGCCTCACTCACCTTATCCCGGTGAGTAAGTGATGGTGTTTCCACTGACACCGGGACCTACCGTTTATTTATCGTTTCAAACACCAAATCATCACTCGTTAAGAATCCAGGTACATCCAACTGACGGGTTCCAAACAAGACGAAATGCACACCCTGAGCTCCCCTGCTAGTTTTACATCAACCAAAATAACATCACTTTCATCTTCAGATATTGTCGAAGCGTCCGTACTAGAAGTTGACATAGCAGCAAAGAGGTCCGTTAAGTCAATCATTTGGAAATGCAGATTCACCTAAAAACAAATAATTACTTTCATCCAGTCTATTTCCGATTTAAATCCTGACCTAACTAGTTGATCCTGGATATTAACTGACGTAGTGTCATCCCGGCCTTGCATATTAAAATGCAGCTAAATGACCTGATGCATCGGAAATGTATTGCTGATTTCTCCTTACATCAGTTCATACATTAGGACTGATGAAGTATATCATTACATTTTTTTCGTTGAGTTCCAAGTGGAACATTGGGTTTTGAAGTTTCATTAGCGGTGATTTCGTTTTTACGAGGTCGAGTTTCTAGCCTCACACCCGACGTTCCCTTGCTTTTATCGGCTAGTAAACTAGTGGCGAGGCTTAGGAGTAGTACATCGGCCGGGAATCGAACTCTGGACTACTTATGAGTGATTAACAAGCATTCTACGATTGAACCGTCTACACATGTAGTGTACATTTGATAATATGCGCATAGAATAATCTTTATTATGAATAAAAAATTTTTCAAATTCTGCTTTTATTTTCTTTTTTAGCAATATCGTAATAAACTAGATGATGTAGAACGTCGTTTAGACCAATTTTTCAAGAATATCTCTACTGGTACATTACAATTGACTGGTTCCACTTTTGAATGTCTGCAACAGTGTACCCTGTTAGCTGAACAATTCAATTATACTGAAGCATTGAAACAAGTGAATTTGTTAATTCAGTCAGCTTTTCAATTACCAGATATTCAGTGTTTTGGTCCAGCATTAAAAATATTAATGCAAACAGCCAAACAATTATATCCAACATCCTCTCCAACTTCTGCTGCTGCTGCTGCTTCGACTTCAGCTTCAACACCGGTGAATCAGTATCCAGTTGTGTCTCATCGTATTCATTAATTAATTAACAGACTGAACAAGTGAATAACATTTCAACAATTACAAAAATAGTAACAAAATGCATAAAGTATATGGTGGTTTACTCTCTGATACTTGCCTTTTTTTGTCCGACGTAGTTATTAGATAAATATACTGGTGTGTACACACGCCTACGCACGTACATTTCTGGACGAAAATCTTGTTATCCAACAACCGTCTCTTGTAAGCATCCCTACATCTCGACTGTTTTCTGTAGCAGTTGTTATACACTGGTGCTTTTTTGTCTACTAAAGCATATTTTATGCACTATTTGTCTTTCGTTCTTTTCTACTTGGTTTTCTTAACCTAATCTTTTCACACCCACCTACATGACACCCTAATACTATTACGTAATAGTATCTGTTTCCATTGTTTTACTTAATAAAAATTAATTTTTATTCTCGGAAATGAATTTAACTTGAGAATCAGACGTATAATGGCTAGTTACTTTGTTCCTTTGAGTTTTAATTGCTGCTTTGTTCTATTCTGTTCTGTTTTGGTTGTGTTAGTTTATTTTACTTGATTACCGTTTCCACCCTCCCCTGCTCCCCCCGCACCTTTCTAACTTCGCTTTTTTGCGCTATTATTGTTATTTTCATTTAATATGCAGGCAATGATTGAATGATAAGAGGAGAGAAGTCAAGTGAACACACACACACACACATTATCTTTCGATATTTAATAAGACTTTTTGTTCGGTGAATGGTATTTTGAATCTCCTGCTAACCCATCCCCGCCAAATTATCGAATTCCATCAGTAAAAGTGATATTTTTTTTATTATTTCATGTGATTTTGGATGGTGGGTGTATTTATGTGTGTAACATCTGCCACTAGGCTGTTTACATCATCACGACTGTTATGTGCGTGCGTGTATATCTGTGTTTTTTAAATGGTATTTTAACACTTTTCCTTGTTTCTTCTTCTTCATTTTTAATAAAAATTTGTCTTGTCTTCTTATTTTATGAATTCTCCACTTTGTTTTGATCTTTTTGTACTACTTAAATGGTTGTTATAAGTAGGAATACACACCAGAAGTGTTGTATCATCTTTTCTCTCTGTCACTATGGTGAATTTTCACAATATAATAGGATGACCTTGACGTATTACTCTGTATAGAATAACATTTGGCTCATTCATTGGCCTAAGAGCATAGTTTTGCAGTCGAATGGGTTAGGGATTCGAGTACCCTCACCCCCGGATATATTACTTCAGTATGGGTAGCTAACTAGGTAGTATCACTTATCGACAGCCCTGCCACGATATGGAGGTATACCTGTTAGCCTGATACTTGATAGATTTGTCCTAGATCACTGAGTCGGGCAGGTAAACAAAAAAAGTTAGGAGTTAATGTTGCTTATCTCTTCTTTGAGCAGATTGTTTCATCACTGAATGCAGAATGTCAAAATCATTGACTAAAGTATAAAGTTTTTTGAGGTGGAAAACTTTTAAATATGATAGAACCACCTCTTAACAATTGTAAAAGTATATTTTAAAAACCGTTGACTACTCAAAGACTATTCGTTGCAAATAAGAAAATGAGGCGCACAATTATTACCACTGTTAACTTTGGTAACGAATTTTAGCTGGTTCCACACTTACCCATATGCCTTCGTTTCCTCTTCACATTGTCTTCCTCGACCCCATGCCCAATTTATCGTTTTCCATTCGAGTTCCACTCGACGGCCTTCTCAGTGTATGTTCAATCTATCTACTTTTCATTCTGCATATTCATTGGACGATAGGTTCGTGGTCGGTTCATTGCCTATCTAGCAGAATTCTTTGTTGTTTTTGTTCCCCAGCTGGTCATTTGATCTTTATTATCGAGCCAGTGAAGGTAGCTGTTAATAAAAGTCTTCAATAGTATGTTGAAACTGCCTTCTGTAACGTCCACATCAAGTCGCTGAACCATATAGAAGTGCTGACTGATTCGAAATCAGTGTTGAAAATTTGCATCTTGTTCTTTGGTGAAGAGTGCTGCAGATCTCCGCATCAGCCTTGACATCTTCACTAGTCCCACCTATAGGTTAAAGGACAATGCGTAGATCAGGTAGGTGAAGAAGACAACTTCATTTAGATTCCCCCGTTGATGATGATTGATGTTCACCTAAAGTCTCATCGTGGTTTTTTTGGAAGCTGGAGGAAACCGGATTCAGTTAATCTCCCACTTGGATCTCCATGAGACTACGGGAAACTATAAGAAGTCAGAAATTATCGTGACTGCTTTTTTCAAAATAAGCAACTGAGGTACACAGCATTGGTATATTATAATGGCAGGTACTACATTGATATAATCAGTATTGAGAAACATCTGTTAAAAAACTAAGGCTGTATTTATCAAACTGTTAATTGTAGGTCCTTATTTCAGTAACTCGTAGTTTGTCTACTTTCAACAACTGTCTCATCGAAGGACATTTGTGATCAATTATCTCTACACCCAATTGGTTTGACTCCATTAACTACAATGTCTTAGTAGAACGTTGCGAATATAATCTCGAATCCAGTAACTAATATGTACTGGTTAGTTGATGGCATGGTTCCAAGAGACGAATTAGCTGTTCGATACTCGTTGATTCTATTGGTTCTTTCCTTCACATGTATGTATTAGTCATTATCTATGAAGATGCACCACGACTAACAGCAACAATCATCGTTATTAGGCGAAACCTAATTTTTCATTTATCTGGACAGTATCGTTTCTACCACAATTGAGACGGATGACAACATCAAATCCAGTCAGGATCGGATCTGAAAAGCAAGATAAGCTTTTATTACTTTTAAATCAGTATAGTGATGTAAACAAGATCCGAATTTTCAGAGACGCGCCTCACTAAAAGTATTTACAACAGACTATTGTAGACCTTCATCAACACCAGCCACTAGTGACTCCACTCTGAAGAATAATTAGATGGCTGGTCAGAAAGGTTAAGCAACAAGGAACCGACCGAGAACCCAATACTCAACAAATAAACATGGAAATAGATCAGACATACAGTGAAGAGACTGTTGAGCAGCACTACACACCAGGCAGGCTGTTGAGTGCAACAGTGGGTTGAATGTCCGATGGTGACATCAAGAAGATCATGTGAAAAAGAACTGAAAGTTTGTATGCAGTCGTGAAGCCAGTAGTAAGTGATGACGGAGAAGAGAGGGAAACGAAAACGTCCCGTTGAAGCTGTCCGCATATTCCAATTGGAACTTAATGGAAAAAATATCAGTAACAATATTCATAACAATGAGGAATTTTTATGTAATAGTATGATCTCTACTTCTCAAATGGTTTAAATTTTCGTCAAAGTTATCATTCGTTAAAAAGTTGATGTGACTTAATTGAACTTCCTATAGATATTAAATTATGTTTTGGCATCGGTGACCCCAACTTTTCAAAAATAATCAATCAAACTGACCCAAAAGAAATGAAATAAAACAGACTGAGTATACTCATCACTTGTTGGTTATCGGAAAGAATTGCTATTCACTCGGAATAATAATGACAGATAAAAAGAAAAAATTTCTTCAAGAAGGAATATAAATTAGAGATCATTGAAAATCAGAGAACATTGAACCGTTCGGAACTCTTCAGCAATGCACACCCTTGACCCAACCATTAACTGAATCTGCAACTTTCACTTTTTAAGTGCACAGGCTCGTTGACTATTTGGCCACTTAAATTGTGTAAATGATTGATCTAGCGCTACTTTCTACCAGCATCTTCGATGAATATCCAGTTCAGTTTGACTTGATGGACCCTACTGGCCACGACTTCTCAGTACAGCTTCAGGACATACATCCAGGTGATTGAAGATTGATATTTTAATATTTAGGTTAAACAATGATTCTCATGAGTTTTAAATTTGTTAAATTTAGAGAGTAGGAATGAGTGGTTGCTCGCCGTTCAGAAGATGATAAATATTTGTAGGTGTAAACGGAACTGTTCAAAATACTTACCATTAGCTTTCCTGGGAAGTTAACACTATACAGCAGAACTCATAAGCCTGATATATATGAAGGTTAGATGATTTTCGAAGGCAGAGGGAAGAAGATACGTCTGTACTATTATCAACATTTTGTCAATCTAGAAGGTTACTTTCTCTCCGACTAGCAAAGGATTAAACGAAATAGATACAATGTCTGCTGACACTGACAACCAGAAGAAATAACCCATCACAACAAGAAATAACAGCCTTAGAAAGTTTGAGGAATGTCTAAAGCGTAATAATATGCAAAATCATACAATAGTAGTTGTGGACATATGAAATTATATTAACAGGTCCATATGATGAGAAGATTAAGAAACCTGTAGAAACGGTTATGAATAAGATCAAATAATTTGCGTCTGGCCTATTATGCTGAATGAAGTTATCTCTGGGTGAGTTGAAATCGTTTAACTCAATACCTAAAACTACCAATCCCAGAAGAATTAAAATTAACAAAGAAAGGTACCCTATGAGGCCGACAGTGGACTTGACGAACATATGAACTGTCAAAGTATTTAGCATCAGTACTATGTCCCATTAGTAATCGATCAGACTCTAGGCTAATTCATGTAATGAAATGAAAACGAGAGGAAAAGATTAGTTTTAGTGTAAGAATTTTGTACACTAATGTTCTGATTAATACAGCTCTTCACACAGTTAAGAATGAACTGGACATTGATCCTAAACTCTGAAATAGAACTAAGCTATCGGTTGATGAAATAATATTGGGTGTTCAATTATGTCTAACCTCCAGTGTATTCAAATTTAAAATAAAATATACAAACAAAAAAATGGGGTGGCAATGAGGTCACCAATATCGCCGGTAGTGACAGCAGGCATATTTATGAAAATATGGCGACGTAAAGCTATTTAAACGTTCAGTGCTTTTCTTAGATTTCTATCCAGAAATCTGGAGCGATTATTGCAAATGATTAATTAACCAAACTTTTGAGTGGTGCATAGAGTCCGAAACACACAGAATGTCTAAAGTATGGTACTATATCATG